TGACCCACCTGAGGTCGTTCAGGGAGTCTGTGACAGAGCCAGGGACTGAACACAGCTCTCCTGAGTTCAAGGCCTGTGTCTGATGCACCAAACCTGCCTTCCTCTTGTCCATCAGTGGGGCACCGTCTGCTCAGTGCTTCTCCCTGGCACTGCCTGGGCGAGTGACGACCTGCCCCTGATCTGGCCATGCACTGAGACAGACAGACAGACAGACATCCCAGGGCTGCATATTCAGGAGGCGCCTCCTCCTGAGATCTCCTCCCTGACCCCCCAGCTCTTTCATTGTGGCCAATCATCCTGCAAAAGAAGCCTGGGTGGCATTTCTGTGGCACTGACGCAGGGGCTTTGTCCAGCTAGACCAGTGGCTTGCACAGCAACCCCACACTGTATGGCCCTGGCGCCAGCTTTCAAACCTGGCTTTAATGTGCGTTGCGATGGAGCCCAAACCCCATGACTTGAATCAGAGCTTAGTGCTGCCTGGGAACACCCCAGCCACATGTGCAGCAGGAGCCTGGCTTCCAGAGCGCTGGGGAGTGACCATCCCAGCCACAGCCAGCCGGAGCTGCAGGAGCTCAGAGGCCGTGGGAGTCTGAGCTAGCGCATGGGGCCCATGTTCCAAAGAGTGTCACAGTTCCACAGCCAGGCAGAAAGAATGCACACACAAACACACGTATGCACACACACACTCATACTCACACACACACACACACTCATACTCACACACACACACACACTCATACTCACACACACACACACACTCATACTCACACACACACACACACTCATACTCACACACACACACACACTCATACTCACACACACACACACACTCATACTCACACACACACACACACATTCCAATGTGTATACACACAAACACTCACCCCCCCCCCCCCCAAAGACACACTACAGTGCAGAGACACCACATACTATTTAGCCTTTCCTTAGCTCAGTAATTCTCAGCCTTTCTATGTTGGGAGCCCTCTCCCAGCCAGTCAGGACCCCTGTTCCCTGAGTCGGTAGCACAGGAAAGCAGGAGGGCCCCATGCTCTGTGGAACCCCAATGAGCCACAGGACATTTGCGGGTAGATTGGGAAGATGGCGGAGCAGGGAAGGTGCAGTCCCCTCCCCAAAAGGGCTGAGTCAGCACCTCTGTGCACCTTGCAGGCTTCCATGACCCCAGTTCTGCAGGAGCTCTCCCTCCGCCCCCATACTCCCAGCACAAAGAAGAGCATCGCGCCCATTGTTTTTGCTTTCCAACTGGCCATGAAGCAATGAGACGAATCCATCCATGTGCCAGGCAGTGCAGGGCCTGAGCCTCATGGAGCTGATTGAATTCAGACTCCAAATACTCACAGTGACATTTAAGGGAGTAAAACAAATCCATAAAACTCAGTCACTGGAATCCAGGGATACGTCTAGACTACATGCCTCCGTTGATGGAGGCATGTAGATTAGCCAGATCGGCAGAGGGAAATGAAGCCGCGATTACAATAATCGCGGCTTCATTTAAATTTAAATGGCTGCCCCGCTCTGCCGATCAGCTGTTTGTCGGCAGATCAGGGCAGTCTGGACGCGACGCGCCGACAAAGAAGCCTTTTTTGATCGGCACAGGTAAACCTGGTTTCACGAGGCATACCTGTGCCGATCAAGAAAGGCTTCTTTGTCGGCGCGGCGCATCCAGACTGCCCCGATCCGCCATGTACCTTCTAGACCCCTCTTGAGTGAAACTAGCTATACTGATAAAGGCACAGTTTTGCAGGGATATACTTGTCTACATTAAGGACATTTTCTGTACACGTCTGCTGGTCACAAATCATACTGATATCATACCTGGCAGAAGTTTGCAATATTGATTTGGTCCAAATTATCTTAATACAAGTATAACTGTGTCTAATTAGGGCTTTTTCTGGAGTAAGTATTTCTGTGGGGGAAAAAAATCACACCTTTTACCAACATGGTTATACCAGTAAAACTGGTAAGTGTAGCCCAAACCTGACTAATATAAACACCCCTTTCTGTTCAGCTCTGTGACTCAACTATTTGTATTTTTCAACAAAAAAATCAAAATTAGAAACCTAATCCGAACTAGCTACTCCGTGCCGCGTGTAGCCGCGCGGCACGGGGTTCGAACTAGCCGGCATTTAAAAATGGTGCCGGCCGGCTTTATGCAAATGAAGCCTGGGAAATTCAAATCCCGGGCTTCATTTGCAATTGCGGATGACTACATTACCCCTGCTAGTTCGAACTAGCGGGGTAGTGTAGACATACCCTCAGAGGGGATTGACTCCAGAGGCTGGGCACACAACTGTTCATAAGGAGCATTGTGCTCACCCATTAAACCCCACCCATGCAGCATGGCAGGGGAAGGGACTAGGTAGCAGGTTTAAAACAAACATAGAGAAGTATTTCTTCACACAGCGCACAGTCAACCTGTGGAACTCCTTGCCAGAGGATGTTGTGAAAATCAGGACTTTATCAGGGTTCAAAAAAGAGCTAGATAAATTCATGGAGGCTAGGTCCATCAATGGCTATTAGCAGGGCTCGACAAATCCATATATCTCCTTGCCCATGGTGAGTAGATTTCAGCCGGTCGCCCCGTTCACCGGTGGTGCGCACATGCGCAGCGCCGGTCTGGCGCATGCGTGGTGCAGGGCTGGCAAGTGGATTTTGCTGCGGTTTGTCGAGCCCTGGCTATTAGCCAGGGTGGATAGGAATGGTGCCCCAAGCCTCTGTTTGTCAGAGGCTGGGAATGGGTGACAGGGGAGGGACCACTTGATGATTGCCTGTTCTGTTCACTTCTTCTGGGGTTTTTGGCATTGGCCACAGTTGGCAGACAGGATACTGGGCTAGATGAACTTTTGGTCTGACCCAGTATGGCCATTCTTATGAAAGAGTGCACAGCACTTGGGGGCTATTGCTCCCAAAATACAGCTCCTTATCTAGGGATTCCCTGGCCTGGGAAAAGCTCATCAAAGCTAGCAGGAATCATTGTCACTGAAAGCTATGTGCATGGTGCTCAGACACCACAGCGATGGGCATGCAATAAAAATTGATGATAGATAGATAGATACTGTAGGCACATAGACAGAAAGACAGATAGAGGGATAGATACTGCCTATGAACTATGGATTTGTGCTGTAGTCTTGGGAGGTGACTTTGCATTCAATTTCTGAAGCATGTGAAGTGAAGAGTGAGTCCTTGGCCTGGGACTTATTAATACCCACTGGTTTCTTTGTTGCAGAAATCAGGAATGACCAAGACATATGCCAAATCCAAAGAGATGTCCGAGCTGGTCACCTCCCAGTCATGGATGGAGGAAGCCCTGAGCTCCCAGGACGAAATGAAGGAGGAGGACAGCAGACAAGCCCCCTATGGAATGGTGGCCAGCTTTAATGACGAGCATGACAGCATTGAGGAGGAAGAGGAGGAAGAGGATGGAGAGAAGCCTAAGAGAAGAGGGCCAAAGAAGAAGAAAATGACCAAGGCGCGGCTGGAACGGTTCCGGGCCCGGCGGGTCAAGGCCAATGCCAGGGAGCGCACTCGGATGCATGGGCTGAACGATGCTCTGGATAATCTGAGGCGGGTGATGCCTTGTTACTCCAAGACACAGAAGCTGTCCAAGATTGAGACACTGAGGCTCGCCAGGAATTACATATGGGCTCTGTCGGAGGTGCTGGAAACGGGGCAGACCCCAGAAGGGAAGGGCTTCGTGGAGATGCTTTGCAAAGGTTTGTCACAGCCAACCAGTAACCTAGTTGCCGGCTGTCTGCAACTGGGGCCTCAGTCCCTCTTCCTGGAGAAGCATGAAGAGAAGTCCTCGGTGTGTGACTCTGCTGTACCCAGCCATACCTTCAACTACCAATCTCCGGGACTGCCAAGCCCCCCCTATGGGAACATGGAAACTCACCTCTTACATCTAAAGCCTCCCACCTTCAAAAGTTTGGTGGATCCTTCCTTTGGGAGCCACCCCCCGGACTGCACCACTCCACCCTACGAAGGGCCCCTGACGCCTCCCCTGAGCATCAGTGGGAACTTCTCCTTGAAGCAGGATGGGTGTCCAGACCTGGAGAAGTCCTACACCATCATGGCCCACTACCCTTCCGTGAGCCTGAGTGGAGCTCACGGGCACCCCTCTCATTTCCAAAGCACAGTGCCCCGCTACGAGCTCCCCATGGACATGAGCTATGAGTCCTACCCGCACCATGTGGTTGGGCCCCAGCTCAACGCCATATTTAATGAATGAGGGGAAGGCGGACAGCTAGACATCAACGTTCAGAACCAAGAGACATGCAGCCATTCAGTGTAGATGTTTCTGGAGTGCCCACGGCTGGGATGGGGACATCACTTCTCCAAAGCCATGTGAAAGACCTCTGGACCAGTCTCCTTGAGACACCTCTAAGAAAACCTCTGCTGGCCCTTTCCACACTCTCGACAGTTGTTTATTTGCTGGTTTCTACATTTTCCCCAAGATTGGCTCCTTCGTTTATTGCCAGCCAAGTATGTACTGGACTGATCACTTGTGCTTTTAAATGGAACACCCCCCTCGGCCAACACCCCGAGAGACACAGCAGTGGGGGCAGGAGCCAGCAGAGTAGTTCAAGCTGTCTGCAGAATTTGGGGCGCTGCGTTGGTTCCAGGTACATGCAGTCCTGGAACGGAACAGCGGCTCCTCACCAGGCCTCTGTCCCAAGCAATTGAATCCAAACTGCCGATCCATCTGGGAGAGACCTGGTTGTGGAATTCTGACATTGGGAACTGGTAAAAGAAACAGCCATGAACAGAGGCAGTCGAGTCATCGTTTCATAACCGCTCCCAAAGGAACATCAGCCAAGCACGAGACACACAACCTGGAACCCGAAGAAGACATGGCAAAAATCTCCATCTCTTCCAGTGCACTAGCCACTGGACAAACCTGTGTCTCTTGCCAAACTGGGCTCCCGTCAGCTCCTTCTCTGGGGTGTCTTGGCATCAACCCCTGCCTTGGCACCCAGACACCATCCTGAGCAATCCCACCCCACGTGATTACTAACCCCGTTCTGAGGGCAGCACGCAGGCTCTGTTGAGCACCGCACGGACTATACTCCTGGGACAGGCAGCTCAGCTTTTCCCTTGGGGTCTCTCAGGTCCAGGAGCAACTTTACTGGCTGGGGAAGGTAGAGATGATCGGAACCAGTTACAAACAGCACTAAACTAACCATGCAAAGAGACATATGTAGTGAGGGGTTCTCCCAGCCAGCTCCCAAAGCATCAAACGTCCTCCCAGCTCTCAAAGCATCGAACATCCTCCCAGCGCCCAAAGCATCGGACGTCCTCCCAGCACCCAATGCATTGGACGTCCTCCCAGCGCCCAAAGCATCAAATGTCCTCCCAGCGCCCAAAGCATCAAACGTCCTCCCAGCTCCCAAAGCATTGGACATCCTCCCAGTGCCCAAAGCATCGGACGTCCTCCCAGCTCCCAATGCATCGGACATCCTCCCAGTGCCCAAAGCATCGGACGTCCTCCCAGCTCCCAATGCATCGGACATCCTATCCAATGCATCGAACGTCCTCCCAGCTCCCAAAGCATCAAACGTCCTCCCAGCTCTCAAATCCCAGTGCACCGGACGTCCTCCCAGTGCCCAAAGCATCAGACGTCCTCCCAGCTCCCAATGCATCGGACGTCCTCCCACCTCTCAAAGCATCGAACGTCCTCCCAGCTCCCAATGCATCAAACGTCCTCCCAGCGCCGAAAGCATCAAACGTCCTCCCAACGCCCAAAGCATCGAACGTTCTCCCAGCTCCCAAAGCATCAAATGTCCTCCCAGCGCCCAAAGCATCAAACGTCCTCCCAGGTTCCAATGCATCAAACGTCCTCCCAGCTCCCAATGCATCGAACGTCCTCCCAGGTTCCAATTAATCGAACATCCTCCCAGGTCCCAATGCATCATACGTTCTCCCAGCTCCCAATGCATTGGATGTCCTCTAAACGTCTTCCCAACTCCCAATGCATCGAACGTCCTCCCAGCGCCCAAAGCGTCTAACGTCCTCCCAGCTCCCGATGCATCGAACGTCCTCCCAACTCCTAATGCATCAAACATCCTCCCAGCGCCCAATGCATCAAACGTCCTCCCAGGATCCAATGCATCGAACGTCCTCCCAGCGCCCAATGCATCAAACGTCCTCCCAGGATCCAATGCATCGAACGTCCTCCCAGCGCCCAATGCATCAAACGTCCTCCCAGGATCCAATGCATCGAACGTCCTCCCAGCGCCCAATGCATCAAACGTCCTCCCAGGATCCAATGCATCGAACGTCCTCCCAGCGCCCAATGCATCAAACGTCCTCCCAGGATCCAATGCATCGAACGTCCTCCCAGCGCCCAATGCATCAAACGTCCTCCCAGGATCCAATGCATCGAACGTCCTCCCAGCGCCCAATGCATCAAACGTCCTCCCAGGATCCAATGCATCGAACGTCCTCCCAGCGCCCAATGCATCAAACGTCCTCCCAGGATCCAATGCATCGAACGTCCTCCCAGCGCCCAATGCATCAAACGTCCTCCCAGGATCCAATGCATCGAACGTCCTCCCAGCGCCCAATGCATCAAACGTCCTCCCAGGATCCAATGCATCGAACGTCCTCCCAGCGCCCAATGCATCAAACGTCCTCCCAGGATCCAATGCATCGAACGTCCTCCCAGCGCCCAATGCATCAAACGTCCTCCCAGGATCCAATGCATCGAACGTCCTCCCAGCGCCCAATGCATCAAACGTCCTCCCAGGATCCAATGCATCGAACGTCCTCCCAGCGCCCAATGCATCAAACGTCCTCCCAGGATCCAATGCATCGAACGTCCTCCCAGCGCCCAATGCATCAAACGTCCTCCCAGGATCCAATGCATCGAACGTCCTCCCAGCGCCCAATGCATCAAACGTCCTCCCAGGATCCAATGCATCGAACGTCCTCCCAGCGCCCAATGCATCAAACGTCCTCCCAGGATCCAATGCATCGAACGTCCTCCCAGCGCCCAATGCATCAAACGTCCTCCCAGGATCCAATGCATCGAACGTCCTCCCAGCGCCCAATGCATCAAACGTCCTCCCAGGATCCAATGCATCGAACGTCCTCCCAGCGCCCAATGCATCAAACGTCCTCCCAGGATCCAATGCATCGAACGTCCTCCCAGCGCCCAATGCATCAAACGTCCTCCCAGGATCCAATGCATCGAACGTCCTCCCAGCGCCCAATGCATCAAACGTCCTCCCAGGATCCAATGCATCGAACGTCCTCCCAGCTCCCAATGCATTGGATGTCCTCCCAGGTCTCACCCTCCTGGCTCCCAATGCACTGGACATTCTCCTAGCTCCCAAACATCCACTGTACTCCTCGCAGGAACACATCTATTCCCTGCTAAAGCATCTAGCTGAATGCAGAGAACAAGCTTGAAACCCTGGACACTTTGTCTTCACTGTCTCCTTCTCAACCAGGGACTAGACGATCAGTCCAAATTCGAAGCTCCAAGGAAATCAAATAGCCAATTACATCTACTTCAATCCTGGAGCTGCCAATCTGTCCTCCCCAGTGAAATCCTGTCCCGCAGAACTTCGTGTGTTACTCAAAACCAGCATGAGATCATCAGAGCATGAACCCCTTTTGGATCAGAACCAGGAACTGTTCTACTCAGCCATGTGTAGAACATGTGGGTCAGTTACATGTAACCTGCAGAGAAACAGAAGACTCCAAACTATAGGATGCTTCATCTGGAAGAAGTACAAATACCTTCCACTTAAAATAGAGGTTTAAATTAAACCACAAACATGTGGCCAGGGCAAATGTTTCACGATGGTCTGTATTATATTTATTATACCCCGTGTTTGGAAACCAGATCCTGCCAAAATAAGTATGTCTTAATTTCCTGTTTTATTTATTATTTATCTGGGTCTAATTTATTTTGTTTGCATTTTACAGAGAATATGGAATGTGCTGAATAGACTGTTTCCTAATCAACTTTAAAGTGTTTAGTTGGAGTTTAGCTTTGTGGGGAAATGCATGTCGGGTTTTGGTTATTTATTAGACATTATTTATTTAATTTATTCGCCCTCTGCTGCTTTTGTGCCCTTCTTCCAGGGATTAAACCAAGTATGAACCAAGGAATTGAGTATTTAATGTTGCCCCTTTTTGGTTTTGGAAGATTTTTGCCAGACCTTGCCGGTCAGTCCCTAGATACATCTATACAAGCAATAATGTTTAATGGCTATGCAATTAATTTTATTTTCCTTTCAAGAAAATCCA